AACACCCTCCCACCCTCCAGCAGGGCCCCCAGGTCCTCAATTCGTCCCCCTCCAGGAAGCCTCCAGTCCTGCCCACCCTAGGGACTTCTTGGATTTAGCAGGCCACATCTTCCCTGAGTCACAGGAATCTGTGCCCAAGGGTGGCTGACGCTGGCCAGGGGCAGGGCCTCCTCTAAGGCCATGCACCATGACTGAGCCTGGGCGTCCCACCTGTCAACCAGAGCACTGGCTTCTGCTCAGCATCAGGGAGCCTGGGGTCCCCCATCCCTGCTACCTGCTCACTGCAAGACTGGGGATGACCCTCAGGCTCTGAGATCATTTGGTGAGGGGCAGCAGGTGTCCTTGGAGGGCCTCCCCCATGCTGGGGGTACTGGGCCGTCAGACCTGGGCTGCTCTTAGGCTCCTGGGGGCCGGCCTGCTCTGGGCAGTCAGTCAGAGACGAGCATCCCCTGCCTGAGGCTGAACGCTGCAGTGCTAATCCGAGGAAATCCTGGGTGCACGGGGCCGCATCCGGGTAACCTGACCCATGAGGTGACGGGTTGCCATGTCAGGGGTGGTAAGGTTTCTGGGTGGGGCCTGCCTGCAGCCACTTTAAAGCCCAGCTCCAGCCCTGGATCTCGGAGTCACAGACTCAGCAGGTGGAGGAAGAGGTGTTCCACGCCATGTCCTCCCGAGCATGGAACCCCGGGCCGACAGTCGGAGTCTGGACCCAGGATGCCCTAGCTGGGACCTTAAGATGCAGGCTTGGGTTCCTGGCTAGGAGTCTCGGCAAGAAGGCCTGGACCCCTTGCCTCGGCCCCTCCCCCAAGCCTCACCAGGGGACACACCCCTACCCTCCCCAGTTTGGAAAAGTGACTGCTGAGAACGTCTAATGAGGCAGACGCTTCAGGAGGCTTCCTGCAGAGTCCATAAACCGCGGGATTGCCTTGGCTCCCCTCCTCAAGGACACAGAGCCCAGGCTGACCTCTGCCAGCCAGCAGCCTGCCACCGTGCCCAGTGGGGCACCACACTGAGGTTGTCCTCCTCCCTGGGAATTTTCTCTGCTTCTCAATCCAGCTACGCCGACTGCTGGCACGTGGAGGACCGGTTTGCACAATCGCTCCCGCGCATGCCACCCTCCCAGATTAGTCTGTGACAGGGGTCTGCAGGGCCCCTGGGGGCCGCTCCCATCTTACCCAGCTCCTCCCCTGTGCAGGGGCCTCAGCCTCGTCCTGCCAAGACAGGGGGCCTTGGGCCAGACCTCGCACAGGGATGACAAAGGGCACCATGGCAGTGCCTCCCGGGCAGGCAGGTGGTAGGCAGGTGGGTAGGCAGGCTCCCTGCGTACCCAGGTCAGACTGCCAGCCCTGAGCGAGTGAGTGGCCGCAGAGCACCCAGGCCCCACCTGTGGCCACTCGCCCGCCCTGGAGACAGC